AGAGAGAAGAGAGAGAAGAGAGAGAAGAGAGAGAAGAGAGAGAAGAGGGAGAAGAGGGAGAATAGAGAGAATACAGAGAATAGAGAGAATAGAGAGAGAGAGAGAGAGGGACGGACGGACGGAGGGACGGACGGACGGACGGACGGACGGACAGACAGACAGACAGACAGACAGACAGACAGACAGACAGAGAGAGAGAGGGAGGGAAAGAAACAGCGAAACGGACATAGAGAGAATAGGCAGAGACAGCGCCAGGGAGAGGGATACGGAAAGCGAGGGCAACAACAGACATAACGCGGGAGAGGGGCAAAGCAAGACCGCGACACCCAGCAAGACAGAGAGAGAGAGAGAGAGGAGCCAGGGGCTTACGCCCGACAGCCGGCCAGGGGCCCAAGCAAAGGGGAGGGGGCAGGGAAAAAGGGCACGGGGGCGTTGTTGTTGTTGTTGTGGTGGTGGTGGTTGTTGTTGGTGTTGTTGTTGTTGTTGGTGGTGGTGGTGGTGGTGCGCTTGTGGTTGTGGTTGTGGTTGTGGTTGTGGTTGCGGTTGTGGTTGCGGTTGTGGTTGCGGTTGTGGTTGTTGTCGTTGTGGTTGTGGTTGTGGTTGTTGTTGTTGTTGTTGTTGTCGTTGTTGTTGTTAGCCCAGCAGCCACCCACGATGCAGACGAAGCACCCCGGTGCGGCAGGCATTTCCAGCATTATTTGGGCCTATGTTGGGCCATGGTGACCCATCTGAAACACAGAATTCCTGGGGGTCTGCGGCTGGGGCGGGACTCCCCTCTCTCCTTCGGAGAGGAGAGACTGCCTACGGCAATGACCCTGGCCGTGTAAGCGGGGCGCCCCCCTGCCGGCGACCCTCGGGCCCAGAACGGGCGGACGTCCGGTTCACTGAAGTCGACGTAATTTACGGTGTTTTGTATGTGTGAGGTATAAAAAACACTGTGTTTTACAGGGTTTATGGCGCATATCGAAGTGCGACGCGGCGAAGAGGGAGAAATGCAACAACGCTGTGTTTTTCAAGGGTGGTGTCGGTAACGCGCGCCGGGCGAACAAGCATAATCGACATTTCGTGGGTGCTGGGCACGCGCCCACTGCAAAGGCGGAAAATGTGCTCCAAGAGGATCTGACTGAGGCCCGCAAGATGACCCAACATAGGTCTCAGATATGGCACACACCGCAAGATGACCCTGCATAGGTCCCAGATATGGGAAACATAGCCTGTAGATGGGTCAAGATTGCCTCAAGATGTGGCAACATAGGCCCCATACAGTGGCAACATAGGCCCCACACCGTCTCAAAGAGAGAGAGAGAGAGAGACATAGACAGAGACAGAGAAGACAGAGACAGAGAAGACAGAGACAGAGAAGACAGAGACAGAGAGAGAGAGAGAGACAGAGACAAAGACAGAGAACGAGACGGGGACAGAGACAGAGACAGCGACAGGCAGAGAGAGGAGAGGGAGAGAGAGAGAGAGACAGACAGACAGACAGACAGACAGACAGACAG